GAAAATAAAGTCTTGGTAAAGTATTCTCCAGCGTCTCCTCGTTCCTCGTGTGTGTGCACCGTGACATGTGCATTCTGACCTAAATCTTGTCTTCACAGACCTAGGCTGAATATACCAATTTTGTGTGTAGGGTCCAAAATAAACCCAAATCAATAAAAAAATGAATAACCCCGACTGGCAATTAAGAGTGAAGCAAAAAAAAAAAAAGTAGTAATCTATTACATTTCTAATTTTAGATAACTATTTTTGATTACTTTTAGATATTTTTTTTTTTACCTACTTGTTTTATCACATTGACTTTAATAAGAAAATCTTGTACCATATTTGTATTTAAATACAAAGAGAAAGAAAATGTATTCCATTATTTGTTATCAATAACATGAAGTGCATGAAACATTACATAAAGTCAGGCTTTCCCAAACTGGGCGTTGTGAAGGAACTGCAGCAGGTTTGTAATAAATTGATGCTAATAAAGCTAATTATTAATCCAATCTTAAAAATATAAAATTTTATATATAAAAGAGAAGAATTGTGGAGCATTTTTTAAATATTAAGTAATCATGTAATCAATAAAAAAGTAACCGTAATCTGATTGAGTATTTTAAATTGTAACAATCTAATTACAACTATTTTTGGAACCTGCAAAAACATTTTAGACATCCTAGATAAACTTAATTATTAGAAGACATTTTATGATGGTTTATACGTCTGATTTGTGTAGCTTAATATCAGAGAGGCTCACACTATCATTTTTTATAACCATGTATTATGTTGCATTTCCTAATAAAGTTAACGGCCACTGCCAATTTATACTTATCCTATTTTTAAACAGTTTAACACACTTGCTGAGTGTTAAATTTGGATCCCATGTGTCTCTTAGTAGGCTAACCTGATTCTCCCATGTGGTCTCTCAGACTGGATGGACATGTAGCTGGTGGCGCTCAGTCGTGAGGCACTGCTGGCACGGGAGATAGCGGATGCATCGCTCATGTCACTGTCTGATGACCTCGCAGACATGTTGTCACAACTCCTCCTCTGATCCTTATACATCTAAACCATCAAAGACAAGAAAAAAACAAATCTTTAATACGAATTAAAAATCTGGCATTCATAACAGCACTGACAGACACATGAGTTGGAGACCTGAAAAGCAGTTTAACACTCACATCTCTCCTGTTTTTGAGCTCTGCCTCTGGGTCATGACCAGAGCTGGCAGAAGAGCCTGGCCGATAGGAATGTACTCTCATTTGCAACTGACGAGCCCGCTCTTCCACTGCTAGTGCTACATCAAGACAGAAAGGGAAAAAAGCAGAAAAATGCAACAGGCGACAAAATAATCTCATTTAAAGTAGCACAGACAGATAAGAACATTTGGACAACAGTCGACATCTCTGCCTGTTTACATTGGCTACGTTTACATGCACAAATTTTGGTTAAATCAGACTGAATTCATTCCGACTGATGAATCTGAATGTAGTGTTTACATGAACGCTAAAGAAAGTGATCGCGCTGATGTGCGCTTTTATATGTCACAAGCTTCAAATTGGAATTTAATTTATTTTACATGCGCACACTGCACAAATATAGAGTTCCCTTTCATGGGAACTTCGAACTGCATCCTCTAGGGGTCGCTATGGGGAACGCCTCGTTGTGACCTGTGTCTGAAGCATACATTGAAAAAACACCAACAACACGTTGGCCGGCGACAGCCATGACGTCACTACCGGTGCGACTATAGTATAAATAGGCGCCGGGAGAACACATCATCCTCTTCTTCGTCTTCACTGACTGTTTTGTTTGAAGCATGCATTTCCGTGGTAAGAGCGATCTCTATTCATTCATTATGGCGAGCACTAGCAAAGCGTTTAGAAGATGTGTGCATAAGTGTCATCGTTATTTGACACCCGATGAAAAACACAATCTATGCATTGTTTGTTTGGGTGAAGAGCACGCACGCGATGTCCTCGAGGGGGCAATCTGCATGCACTGCGAAGGTTTTTCAATGAAAAAGCTCCGTTCTCGTTTGTCTCTTTTTTAGAGTAAAGAGGGGCAGCCATCTGCTTCCCGCGGTTCAGGACCCACCGCTGCTGAGGCACGGAGGAGAATGAGCTCGTGGGGAT